GGAAGGAATATAAAGGAATATAAATCCTTCCATTCCTCACTATCCTGTCAGAACTGAGGAAGCTTCTTGGATGAGAAGCGAAACGTCTTCAAAGAAAAAACAAGAAAATCCAGTTGCCTCCTGAAAAAGCACCTTTGGGATACCTAGTACTTCTTTTTCTTCTTGTTTTCTCCACTACAGCAAGCCTGTGAGGTGGGTTACACAGAGAAAGAGTGCCTGGCCCAAAGTCACCTAGGCAGTTTTCATGCCTAAGGCAGGATTAGAACTCACATTCTCCTGGTTTCTAGCCTGATCCCTTAAACACTAAATCAAACCGGCTATTACAAACTTTGGAACTTGAAGTATGGTTTCTACGTCTCAGGAAACAGTAACTCCAATATAATCTGTGCTGGTTAGACTTCAACCTTTGATCTATAATCTATTCTTAGAGCAGTGGGGAAGAATGATCTGGTGACTTGAAAAGAAGTCCTCTGAAGAGAGAATACAAATACAGTACATTTAGCCTTAAGAAAAGACAAGTGTGGAAAGTTACAGCAACATTTTTCATCAAGTTCACTTAGAAGGTTAAGATTTGTTTTCTGTTGTTCTGGAGCATAGTAATGTTCTTAAGTTATAAGAAGACAGATTTTAGCTAAATACTAAGAAACATCTCAAAGCATTCAACAATAGAACCAATTTTCAAGGGAGGCAATGGGTTCCCTTGAAATTTGTTCAGACGGGCAGAGTAATCACCTGTCAGGTCTGTCTTGATGTTAGAGCCTGTTGTTAGCTGTAATCAAGTTTTTCGAACTTGACAACTTTAAGATGTGTGTACTTCAATTCCTAGAATTCCCCAGCCTACATGCCAAGTTTGAAAAACACTGGACTAAATTATCCTTTCCATCTCTATGATTCTGTGTTTTGTGTTGGGACAGAATGGAAAAGGATATAAAACCTGTAACTAAGGTTCCAGCATCTTTAATCATAGTGGCATGTCTTTGATCTATTTCCTTTGACGTATTTGGAAAAGAAGATAGAAAACAGCTGTCAGTTTTGAGAGCAGGATTCAATAGCTACAAAATGTGGCAATGTATATCTAAATTTATTTATTTATTTATTTATTTATTTATTTATTTGTTTGTTTATTTATTTTTAAATTTGTATACCGCCCTTCTCCCTGAGGACTCAGGGCGGTGAACAGCCAAGTAAAAACATAAACTACAAACATTAAAATACAATTTAAAAGATATATATAAATTTGGCCCCATGATTAAAAACAATAACAGACAATTAAAAACATTTTAAAAAGTGTTAGGCCAGCCCGGCTTGCTGGAAAAAGAAGGTTTTAAGGATACAGCAGAAGGCACCGAGGTCTTGGATTCTCCTTATCTCTGGGGGCAGCTGATTCCAGAGGGTAGGTGCCCCCACAGAGAAGACCCTCCCCCTGGGCCTAGTATATTGTTAATTTTTTCATCAATTTGTCAGATAACTGTATTTTAGGCCAATCTCTCATTTTCTGCTGTGCTTTGAAAAATAGTCAAAAACATCAGCAAAAAGAATGTAATCCCTGCTTTGTTCCTCATGTATTTGCACATGGCAAAAGCTGGGGACAGACCAGGCCAGATTGAGAGATGACTAACAATAGTCTCTTTCCCAGCAACAGTGGCTTCTCAAATAGTAATTAAAATTAATTCAAGATAAATAGCCTTTATGACCACAACTGGGATTGGAATTTCCATCACTGAGCAAGGCAATCATTAACTGACTTGTGCCTGATTTTGCGGCCTTGGTTGTTAAGCAAATCACCATGGTCATTACTGAATTATACTGCAATTAAGCAAATCTTAATCTTCCCCTATTGAATTTGCTTGTCAGAAACCATCTGGGAGAGGGTCATAAATGGCAATTACATGACTCTGGGGTGCTACAATCATTGTAAATACAAGCCACTTGTCCAGTACCTGAATTTTTACCACATGACTGTGAGAGATGCTGCAGTGGTCATATTGTGTGAAGACCAGTTATAAGTCTTTTTTTTCAGTACCGTGGTAACTTTGAACAATAGCTAAATGCTCTGAAATCAAGGACTACCTAATTAAAAGTAAAAGTGATTAATGTATTACAACCAGTGTTCCTTAAATACGTTCCAGAGGAGGCCGCTGTTTTGCCTAAAACTTACAGATGGAGTTATGAGTGTGTCTAAGAATAGTTCAAGTTTGCATACCCATTCACTCACCATGGCAATGCAAATCATTAGAAACAGTACTCTTAAGACTTTCAAGCAAGGAAATCATAACACTTAATCTTCAGCTCCATAAAGTATTGCAACTTGAAGCTATACGAGTGGCTGCTGTATTGTGATTAAAAACATCTTTTGTACCTTTGCAAAATTTCCTGCAAAAGTGTCACAAAGTGTGGAATTGATGAATGCAGTTACCTAGCCCTGTCTGAATGCTGCAGGACTGTAGGCCACAGAATGGCTATACAGAGAATACTGAAAAGTATCAAATTGTAGAAGTACACCTAGTTCCCGCAGCCAACTATTGCAAATAGTGCAAGCAGATAGCTCCATGACCACATCACAGCATAAAACCTGGTCTACCATGCAGTTACCAGGTTGTCTTATCCAAGACCACAGTTTGAAACAGTCCTTTTTTTGGTCTGGCACTTGTCTCAAGTTGGACAATGCCAAGCTACCTGGAATTCTGGATAGAGGAGGGGCCAGCACCATCACATCCAAGGCCTAGTTGCTATGTTAGGGCATTGTTCCATCCATTCAGTTGTTCAGTGGAGTCAGCCTTGCTCAGCTGGATCTGCTGCTGTTGCCACTTCTGATTGCATTCTCTTTGGCCAGTAATTTCAAGCCTGCTCCTCTCTCCTTCCAAGCCATTAAAGGCCTGTCATCCAGTCTTTGGGCCCGGAATGATTCTTTTTTTTTTTTTTTGGTAAAAGATATTGCCTTCCCCAAAACAGACTGATCACACATTTCCAACAATTACTCCTTGATATCGGGATAATTCCACTTTTTTTTTTATTACAATTCCTTAGTATTCTTTCGCCACCATCAATGCTTGATACAGTCACAATTCCTAATAAACAGTCAAATCCCAAAGTTTTGGTATGTAATTCAACATTGCACTAGCATTATTAACATTCAAAGATTTTCCCATAAATCTACTAATATACACAATACACGATCCCCATGACAGACGTATGATTATAAAGCCCAATATCACGTAACCACATTGCTTAGCAACTGCAATCCCACAGTCCCATTTGCTATTGCAACCCCGGAATCATACAGGCCATTAAGCAGGAAGATGCAGGAGTCCAAGTAAGCAGGAGTGAGGGTGCCATGGTCAGGCACTACGGAATGTGGTCAAGTGCCACAGGCAGTGCTACAGACCATGGTCAGGTGAAAAATTGATAGGAACAAGAGCAACTTCCAACTTTCTACTGGCTCCCCCATTGACATCACTTGTGGGAAGCTGGCTGGGAATGTCAGAAAAAACGATCATGTGATCATGGCTCACTACAACACAATTGTGAGCCAGGATCAAGTGCCCAGATCAGGATCACAAGTCTGTAGGGACACTGATGGCTGGATGGAACTCTGAGGACCAGTCGTAAGTCCTCCTCATTCAGTGCTGATGTAACTCTGAACAGCCATTGAATGAGAGGTCATAATTCAAGGGCTACCTTGTACTAAATGATCACACAATGATATAAGGTAGATCAGTGAACACCTTCAACATAAAATATCTGATCTCCATCCTTTCGAGTACTTTATTGTTTTTCTCGAAACAAACAATTTCATAAGATACTATGGGGAGGGATTGTTTTGGAACTGAAGGCTCAGTTATAGAAGGTCTTATTTAAACCAAGTAATAATAAGCAAAAGATGTTCAATAACAGTTGCAGTAGGCAACTGTTAATTATCATCCTGCATCAAAATGGTACGGAATAGTCAACCACTTCCAGTGATCAGTCAGTTAATACCAACGCATAGACTAAGATACCAATTATAATAGCTGCAACACGTGATTACTAGCTTCCAGTGCCCCTGGATCTTGCATGTAAAATTAAAATCTTGGACTGAGTTGTGATTTCTTTGTTTTTGCCGTTGAGGTCCATGTACATTCTCCTAATATTGCATATTAAATTGATATGATACCATTACACGTAAATAGACATAATACAGGTAGTCCTTGAGTTACGAATGTAATGGAGCCATTCGTAACCTGGAGATTTGTGGGAGTGAATCGTACCTTGAACACAATCACTCCCTCCTTTTGCCCACGCATTTGCTAATCGAATGTGTGGCTCATTAAGTGCACATGAGGTATTTCGGGGTTGGGAAGGCCACGTGGGGGCCTAGTGATGGAACAGGCCACCTGCTTAAAACCACCCAAGGCCTCCTTGACCCACTGAAATATCTCACAATTGCTTCCCCCCCCCCACCAAACCTGCTGCGCCAGGTCACTTACCATGCGAAGATCTAGCAAGCTGTCTCTTCTCCAGCCTCTCAGCCAAGCGTGCCCCTCCGATGCTCTGTTTAGGCCTCTGCAGGCTGGCATTTTTCTGGCCAAATCGGAGCTCTGTTTAGGCCTGATCAGGACCCGCCCCTCCTAACCTCCATTTTGGCCGGCAAAGTGCAGGATGAATTTTGCAGAATCTCTGCAGTTGTTTGTAAGGGTGAACAATTGCCGTACTGCTGCAAGACTCATAGTTTCGGGACTTGTTCATAAACACTAGGGGGCGCTGATCACATAACTTCGAACGTTTGCTAAGGGAACACTCATAACCCGGGGATTAACTGTATCATACTGTTTGTGCCACACCCAAGGATGCTGAAAATGCTTTCAATGGCTATTTAGTGAAATCTTCATCACTAGGAGAAAAGATGTTTACATAACTGATTTAATGCAATTAACTCTTAAGTGCACACTAGTAGTTATAACAGCAATGTGATGACAATGATGAAATAAAGAAATTGTTAACATTACTTCGTTTATTTTCAGTTACATTGACAGAAACATTTGAAATCAATGATAAATTGATGAGATTTTTTGATCACTGTGAAAAATTTGTACGAGACGTTGAAGACAACGACACAGCCATGCATGAGGTTGACGCCTTTAAGGAAAGCCCTGAGATGATGAAGGTAGTGAATAAAACCACACATACTTTGTGTCTACCAGCGGAAGACTTAAATGCAGGTAATACTCAGTCTTTGAACTCTTGAAGCTTATTGTGTTTGCTACCTGTCTTCGGTTATGATAAGGATCAGGTGGACATGAAATGTTAAACATGATAATACCACTTGAATTTGAACCTCTTCAATACCAAAGTGTCCTGGTTGTGGGTAGTATGTCTCACGTGCACAAAAGTAGTCCTTTACTTATGACCACAACTTAATAAGGAACTTCCCTCACTAACAATACAACCATTAAGTGAGTTATACGCGATTTTACAACCTTTTCTGCCACACGAATCACCCATGGTCACTAAGTGAATACGACCTTTCTGATTGACTTTTATATAGGCAGCTTCTTAAAGGGCAATGACCCTGTTGATTCATCCTCAGTCTTAAAGGGCTGGTCAGGTTTAAATCTTCATTACCCTGACAATTTTGCTTGTCGGAAGCCGCCTGGAAAGGTCACAAGTGCTGATCATGTGATCTTAGGATGCAGCAACCATTGTAAATACACACCAGTTGCCAAGCACCCAAATTTTGATCATGTGACCATGGGGCCTGCTACAGTTGTCAGTATGAGGATTGCCAGGGGTGGGTTCTACTTACCTTTACTACCGGTTCACAGCGGGATTGCACGCGCACGCTCGCTTTGCTCACACTCACGCCTTCTGCGCATGCGCAGATCGCTTCTGATGACAGGGTCAGTGGGCGGAGCCTCCCGCCGGTTTTACTACCAGTTCTATAGAACCGGTCCGATCCGGGGGCAACCCACCACTGAGGATTGCTCGTAAATTGCTTTTTTCAACATAGTCATAACTTTGAATGGCCGTTAAATGAATGGACATAAATCAAGGACTACCTGCACATTTGCCACCAAGAGTAAAAACTGAAACTTGATTCATGTTTATGTGGTAGCCTGGAGAGACGAAACAGACGTTTACCATTGAGTCCTACTGGTTGGAAAGGCTTTGTAAGATCAGGTGTGGAGGACAGAAAGGAGGTAACCTATCAGCAATTTTCATGCAAAGCTCAGGTAATTCAATCCCCAAACATGTAACTGCTGTAGAGCATCCACTGCTAGCAAGCTGAGTAGCTACTAATAATATCCTTGCCATCAGTCATTGTTTATACTTCCGTTTAGTAAGGCTTAAGTAAATGCACGCTACAGATATTAGGATCACTGTCTTTTCAAAAACCCGAATAGGAGAAAAATCTTAAAATTCATCAGAGTAACAGCGTGGAGTTATATAAGCAGTGGGCTTTTTAATTAGAATATCATGAATGAAAAAAAATACAGTAAGTACAAAAGTAGGTAAATAATTGTCCTCTATATAGTATGCATGTTTATTTTGTATAGTATGTTAATGTCTGCCTACGTATGAGAATGTAGAAAAGATAATATATTAAGTTTCAGGTTTCACACTTTGCAGCTTAAATGGACAAGCATTTGAACCTATTTATTTATTTATTTATTTATTTATTTATTTATTTATTTATTTCTTAAATTTATATTGCCACCTATTCGCCCAGGGCGACTCAAGGCGGCTTACAGAATATAAAAACCACATTTAAAAAACAGTAAAACGTAATAAAAAATCAGATAAATTAATGTTATAAAATCACTCCCCACCTCCCGCCCCAGCGATAGCTGATCACACGAGCCATTTAATGGGCTCCATCCTGCTCTGGGTTCCCCAGGCCCACTAGCAGAACCAGGTCTTCAGTGCCTTCCAGAAGAGAATTAGAGTGTGGGCTGTTCTAATCTCTGGGGGAATGATGTTCCAGAGAAAGGGAGCCACTACAGAGAAGGCCCTTCTTCTGGGTCTCACCAGGTGTATCTCCCTCGGGGATGGGACCCGCAGCATTCCCTGCCTCCCCGCTCTGATGGGTTGGATAGATGTGACCGGCAAGAGACGGTCCCTCAGATAACCTGGTCCCAAGCCATGAAGGGCTTTAAAGGTGACAACCAGCACCTTGAATTGCACCCAGAAGCAGATCGGCAGCCAGTGCAACTCCCGCAGGAAAGGTGATACATGTGCACACCGTGGTCTGCACAAAACCATGTGGGCCGCTGCATTTTGCAACAACTGGAGCTTCCGGATGCTCTTCAAGGGCAGCCCCATGTAGAGCGTGTTACAATAGTCAAGATGGGAAGTGACTAAGGCATGAGTGACTGTGAGTAGGGATTGCCGGTCCAGGAAAGGGTGTAACTGGCACACCACTTGCAGTTGCGCAAAGCCCTCCTGGCCGCAACCAATAAGGACCTATAAAAATTCTGTTTTTGCTTATACTAATCAAACAAGTTCTCTGCACACCCTTAACACCCATCTGCATGTCATTTATGAATAATATAGATAAGTTTATATTAAACATCTGCCAGTTCGTACTTTACATTTTATACATCTTGACATCTGACTGCAGATTGTAGATGCAAAGATTGTAGATGCAGAAATTGTAGATAAACCAATAAATTCTGTGTGGCGCTATCCATTCAGCGGAATTGCGAGTTGTCTGGGAAAAGAAGTAACAACTTTGTTTGTGGTACTTTGTGTTCTACTACCATGTTGTTTCTCTGTAGGGCTCTATTCCTGGATTAATGTTTCAGTTTCCTTTTTTCTTCACTGATATGGGAGTATTGTAAAGTAATGTTTTCTCCTTTTTTGAAGTAGGTTTTTTCATCTTGCCATTTTTGAATAAGTATCTTAAAAGCTGAGTTAGTTTATTGCTATCTTATTTTTCCCCTGCAGATCTGGTTCAAGTGGCATTTTTTACTTGCTCCTTTGGACTAAGTATAAAAAACATTAGCTCCCCCTGGTGTTCACTGTTCAACAAAGAAGATGCCAAGGTAAGTGTGGAATACAGGTAGACCTTGACTTACGACCACCATTGAGCCCAAAATTTCTGTTGTTAAGTGAGACTTTGTTAAGTGAGTTTTCTCCCATTTTACGGCCTTTCTTGCCGCAGTTGTTAAGTTTATCACTGCAGTTGTTAAGTTAGTAACACGGTTTTAGATAAATTTGGCTTCCCCACTGACTTTGCTTGTCAGAAGGTTGCAAAAGTTTGATCACATGACCCAAGGACATTGCAATTGTCATAAAAACGAACCTGTTGCCAAGCATCCAAATTGTGTAGGGGATGCTACAACAGTCATAAGTGTGAAAATGGGCATACCGTATTTTTCGGATTATAAAACGCACCGGACTATAAGACGCACCTAAATTTACAGGAGGAAAACAAGAAAAAAATAGTTTTTGGCCTCCACGCGTCAGATTTTCACCCTCCTAGGCACCCAGAAGTATTCTGCAGTGCTCTGCACGGCTCGTTTTTGCCAAAAATACACCCAATTTTGGCCTGTAAAGTTCTTCTGGGGGGTCAGGGAGGATGAAAACACAATGCACGGATGGTTTGGGAGGCCAAAAATGCCTGTATTTGGTCTATAAGACGCACCTAAATTTGCACCCACTTTTGGGGGGGGGTGTCTTATACTCCAAAAAATACGTTAAGTCACTTTTTTCAGTGATGTAATTTCGAATGGTCACTAAATGAACTGTTGTAAGTTGAGGACTATCTGTATTATCTCTAAGCCATGTAATGTGAAATGTCAGAGTATCAAATCTAAACTGGCATTTTTAATTCAACAGAAGGTTTAATATTTATTTCTAGGCACTTGAATATCTGAATGATCTCAAACAATATTGGAAGAGAGCCTATGGATATAATATTAACAGTCAGTCCAGCTGCATACTTCTCCAAGATATCTTCAAAAATTTGGACAAGGCAGTTTCAGAGAGTAAAAGGTATTGTTTTGAAAGGGAGGGGAACACTACTTTGGGACTGATAATTCGCAATAATAGATTGGCTGATTGATACTTGATAGCAATAAATTGGCTCTGACCACTTGAATGTATTTGTATCTAGTATTTCTATCCAACATTTTAAAGCATTTTAAAGATTTTAAAAACACAAATATGATTTTTTTTTTATTAATAAGCCATAATCTAAGATACAGGATTTTTTAAAAAGTACTGTTATAACAGTTTCCCATTGTTTAAGAAAATAGGGGGTCTCCAATTCCTTACTCTATGCAGTCTTTAAAATGTACATAACAAATTGATTGTTCAATAATAGGTACTTATAATGACTACACGTGGGTGTATTTCCTTATGGTATTTAATGATAACTTCTAATAAATTTGCTTCAGTGAAGATAAAAATTCCATGGATCCAAATCAAGATACCAGTAAATATCCCAATTGGAAATACTACCATTGAACGGCTTCCTTATTACACAGTATTTTCTTATGTTCAGGCACAAATACTAATAAATCAGAGATGGGTTTCAGCAGGTTCTGAACAGTTCTGGAGAACCGGTAGCAGAAATTTTGAATTCAGAGAACCAGTAGTAAAAATTCTAACTGGCCCCGCCCCCATCTATTCTCTGCCTCCCAAGTCCCAGCTGATCAGGAGGAAATGCGTATTTGCAGTAACCTTCCCCTGGATTGGGGAGGGAATGGAGATTTTACAGTATCCTTCCCCTGCCACACCCACCAAGCCATGCCACACCCACCAAGCCACACCCACAGAACCGGTAGTAAAAAATTTTGAAACCCACCATTGTAATAAATACATTGGTTGCAAAAAAAAAATCTATGGATTCCTAAGTTTTGCCTAAATGCTTAACCAGCACATAACATGTCATTGAATAGTAACTGTTATGCCTAATTCAAGCATTATTTGGTATATTTAAAATTCATGTATTATTGCATGAACATTCTCTGGAAATAATGTGGCTAACAGTTTAAAACTGATACTACATGTTATGGTCAACAGTTGTTATGGATGGATAGATAGAAGGATCAAACTTTGTGCTAGTCACTAGTCAGTAGGCACTTAACCCTAAATAAATAAAGATCAATAAAACAAGGACCTTGAATCAAAAAGGTAGTGGATATAATTTAATTAATTACATTTTTAGAAATAGGTTTTTTTAAATTACCTTTTTTTATTAAATGTATATTGCCAGAACAGAAGTCTTTGAAATAAATATTACGACCAAAAATAAAAAGTAAATTGCCAGTGAATATGAAATAATTCACAATTAACTGATTGAGAAATTATGGAAATAAGGTCCATATGTTGATAAAGGTGTAGCATAATTGTTGTCCAAAGGATCATTTTTGTTGGAATGTATCTTATAAAAGACAAGTTCCAGAAATGTGGGGTTTTTATATAGATGCCAACATAAAAGTTGTTCATCCTTTTTATGCACTAATAAGACGAATGAGTTTGCGGATGACTCAGGAACATCACCAGCATTCATAATAATACTAGCGACAAGTGTCCTCTAAATAGACTTTATATAATGGGTTTCTTACGTTAGGGCCCAAAATGAGATCATGTGATCACATGGGGTGGGGGAGGGGGCTGTTGAAGGTGATAAGTATCTTTTGGGGGGAATCTGTCGTAACATTGAACCACTAAGCAACCAGTTGTAAATCGAGGATTACCTGCATTTTCTGCAGTTAAAATTCCAGCCCAGTCTATGCCTTTGGTTCTTTGTTACAGCCGACATGAACAATCCATGCATGGTGTATATTTCAGGAGTTGTCTATACTATTTACTATTTAACAGATAGCCTTGATTTTGCTTATACAGAACGTTTAAGCCTGACTGCAAGGTAGGTGCTTGTGGTACAATGACTATTGGAACAGGATTTTGTACATATCAATTGTATGGCTCACAACTTCTCAAATTTTGCCTTCATTATGGATGAAGAGTGGAGACCAGGGCTAGAAGCAGCACTACTTTGATCCTGAATTCTGACAAATACCAACCGTAGTTAGACCCATTGCAATGCAGCTTCTGATTCATGGCTCATGAGGTCTTCTATCACAGCTATATATCCCCATTGGGATCAATTTTACCCAACATTTAACCTGAGTACAAGTAAAACGTTCACACTACACCTCTTCCTCTGTCTCTCTTATAACTATTGGGTGCAGATTGGCTCCTTCGTTCTATTTATGGTCCAATAACTTTGAAGCTCTCACAGCACAGTCATGGTGGAGTTTGTTCAAACATGCAGCGTGAAAGGAAGGATGTACAGCAAAGAACGTTTCTGCTTCCAAGCTGCTCTCTGACGAATAGTAAACCAAAAGATTACAGAAGCTAAGCTTAGGTGGCTAAATTTGTCATGATTCATGGTAGATAGGCTGTGTTAAACTTTGGTAGTCAGGGAACATATTAATGCAGCCATAATCCTTTCAGAAAGCCATGGAATGAAGAGCTGAATTTCTACTTGAGAAAGGAAAACCAATGTACTCCTAGCCTTTTAATTATGATTAGGAATGCTGTATTTGTATTGGCCTCAGTTTATATTGAAACTATTTAAGGCTGGAGTTACAGACAGGAGTTGTGTACACACTGTTCCACGGCTATTTGGTTTTTAATGAGACTTTCAACCACGGAGGATTTGATTTAAACCAAGTTGATTTAAATCACAATTTAAATCACTAGTAAAAAGGCTTGATTTAAATCAATTCAATTTAAATCATAATTTTTAAAGAGCAACTGCCATCTCTGTCCTCCAGCGGCTCCTCCTCTGACCCGCTGTTGACTCACTGACAGTCCCATTCACACAACAAGGTGAGGGACATGGCAGGAAGCAGGTGAATGGATGCCCACTAACAGGCGCTGCCATGATGGATGGGAAATGACAGGTGCTCTTTCATATTATATTTATAAGCTGCTTAGAAGGTTTCACTTTCATTTTTACTGCTTGTCCTTCCTCCTCACACTTAGAACCTGCTGGTACAGATGCATTTCTCTTCAATCATACAGTTTGTAGTGTACATAGATTTGCAAAACAAGGAGATAAAGTAATATTCCTGAACTTTGTTTTATGGTTTATCTCACAGTTACTGCGAAATTGTGTGAATGGATCAATGAAGTGCATGTTATCTCAGCTTGCAGAGCTTGGATTCATTGAATGAGTTTACCAAAAATGTAAATATTGCAGCATATACAGCGTCATGCTACATAACTAAGCTCCATTCCTGCTGAATAAACAACCATAAATTATTAATGTATCTTAAATAGAAAACTATATTTAGATACATTTTTACTCCAAAAGCATTTTATTAAAATAAATTTGATAAAAATAAAAAAAAATCTGATTTAAATTTTTTTAAAGTCTGATTGTTTAAATTTGTTTTTTTTTTAATCAATTTTTATCCACTCTGCTTTCAACACATGGTATTCTATCTCCTAACGCTTGATGGCAGTGTAAATACAAGATGTTAGCATATATTTTCATAATGCTGCCTTAGGTTATGTAATTCAATGTGTCCATTTCTTCTTTATATTTCTGAACAAATATAAGCCTGACGTAGGAAAGGATTAGATAATTTGGACCTTTTTTTTTTTTTTATAAAGTAGGATAAAGCACAGTTGGGTTGAGTGACTTAGAATGTGTAACTTACAGAATCAAGATAGTGATAAAGCCACACCTAGAAGACTAAGAAAGAATTAAAGGTTCAGGCCTAATGTTGCCTTTCTGCTGTTTGAATAGCATCCCATTGAGAAAATGCTCAAAATCAGTTTTGCTGAGACTATGGCACGGATATCCCCTAACAGAGAGACAGAGCAGCCAAGTAGTTGGCAAATACAGAGCGCATAAAAAAGAAGATGACTTTAACCCTAATCCTATTCAATTATAAATCAAACAATATTTCAATTACAGAGAGTAGGAGTAAAGTTCAACATCCTTTTCTTCCTTGATGAGCAAGGACAGTTCGCAACCTAAGCCGAAGTGAGTGAATTCTTATTCCCAAGGAGGCTGATGTTTAACTACAGAGACTATTTCAAATGTATTTACAGTAGGGGACAAAAGGAGCTTTACTTACAAAAACTCACCTAAGCATTGATTTAGGATCTAGATCCCCTGTGCTCGGCCTACTGTATCTGATCAACCTAACAGATGCCGGAGCCCAGTGGCTCAGGTGATTATGACACTGGTCGGATGATCAGCAAGCTCGTGTTTGTGGCCCAGTGGCTGCCCCATGGTGGAGTGAGCTCCCATCACTCACTTCAGTTCCTGCCGACTCAGCAGTTTGAAAGCAGGCGACCTCAAGTAGATAGAAGGGTATCATTTTGCGGTAACATAACGGGATGTGAAAAGAGACCCAACTGGGCAGACCCTGGGCAATAGTGCTTCAATGCTTCGGGCACCGAAGTATAATATCCTTAGAAGATAAACTTCTTGTAAGGCATGATAGTAAATGCATCTATTAAAAAATTAAGAGAGGTTTATAGTAAACTTTGTTTGATTTTGCTGAAAAAGTATTTCGTAAAGTGATGTAGAGGTTAAGGCATTGTGCCAGGAAGCCTTAGTCATTAATTAGTCACTTAGCCTAATCTTCCTCATCATGTCTGCTTGATGTTGTGGGGATAAAAGGAAGGGAGATCCTCTTGTAAACTGCTTTGAACTCCTGGGGAAAAGGCAGGATATAAATTTAACAAATAAGTAAAATATTGTAAGAAATAATTGTTGAAGCATGGTCACATTTACCTGCAGAACTACTGAGGCACTTTTTATACTGGATTGGAATCCCTCCATCTGTTTGGCAGGAACAACATGGATGATTTTGGTGCCCAAATGAACTGCATTTATACAGAATGGAAACTGAACCAGATGACTGAAATACTAGCTCAGGAATTCTGGGAGTTGAAGTCCACAAGTCATAAAAGGGCCATAGTTCCCCATCCCTGCTCCATATTGTAACCCAAGAGATCTTTAA